GAAGAGCGATACTACGTGACGTCGCCCGGCGTTCTACCCTGTCGTCAATAGCGCCCTTTCTCGTTATCGATAACGCGCGAAAGCCCCGAGATACATCGGCCTTCGTATCGTAGCCTACGGGGCTATCGTCAATTATTCATCGATCATCGTTCTAGTGTATCACTCGACGTGGTTTTAACAATGAAACTGTACGCGGCAAAGGTGTGCACTTCTTGCTTCTTCGCTTTTCAATGAAAATCTTTGGATAAAAAGAGGATAAGAACATTAAAATCATAAAAAATTGTTTTGACTCCAGAAGATTTTTGCGATTATCAATATACATAATATTTCGTTGTCAATATTTTCGGTTTCATCAATTGATTTTTTTTTTTTTTTTTATCAATTTATACATTAATTTTACGAAAGCATATAATTTGCATGTCGTTATTTCTTTGGTTGATGAATGTTAATTTTATATAATATTTCTGTTTCTGTGATGGTTTATTTTATTGAATTCACATAAAACGTTTCTACTAAATTATATCTGTTTCATTATCTAATTTATTTCTTCCAACAGCAAGGACTTATGAGAATGTGACAATATCTCTCATGATCTTGCTTTTCTTTTTCGTGATTATTTTTTTTTTTTTATTTTCTCATGTGCAAATTACTTTCCCAAGGATTGTTTCAGACACAATGTGCCCAAATAAAATTTTCTTTCTAATTAGTTGGATGGATTCTCTTTTTAATTAGCTGGATTAGATTAATTCGCGTTATACATACCAATTAAAAAAAAAAAAAAAAAAAAAAAAAAATATATTTGCGAAAAAATGCTGAAAGAAGCGACGTACATTCTTGCACAAGTGTCACAAGAGTCGTCGAGGTCGACTGTCGTCTGACCTTCCGCGGAAATGTCACAACGCAATTCCTCCTCGCTTTTCGATTTGAAGCATCCATTCGATTTGGATTAGAGCCGCGGCGCGCTGATAAGAGTAAACTTACTGCACGTCGCGCGCGAGTAAACCTTGATAAGACGCGACGATACGCACGGTTCGACGCGGAAGAGTGAAACAAACTGAG